CTCAACACGTTGGGAGGCCAAAGCAGGAGGATCACTAGAATACAGAAGTTAAAAACCAGCCTGAGAAACATAATGAAACGTTGTCTCCACTATAAAAAACTAGCCAAGCATGGTGGCACATATGTAGTCGCTACTTGGAAGGTCAAGGCAGGAGCATCCCTTGAAGCCAGGAGCTAGAGGCTGCAGTGAGCTCTAATAGTGCCACTTCCTTCTAGCTTGGGTGACAGAAATCCTATCTCAAAACAAACAATAAAATAACATGAGGAGAAAAAAGAAAATGTTCAAAAAATATTTTTCCTGCTCTGCAGTGTTGCTCTTTTCAATTTTTACTACTAATTTTTAAGTTGTAATGATTTTTGTTGTTGTTGTTGTTGTTAGAAACGAAGTCTTGCTATGTTGCGTAGGCTGGCCTTGAACTCCTGGCCTCAAGAGATCCTCCTGCCTCAGGAAGTGGAATCCAAGGTGCTAGGATTACAAGTGTGAGCCACCAGACCCTGATTAACATTAAAAAAATTTTTTTTTGGTTTATTATAATTCAGTTCTTTCTCAATATTTACTTTAAATATCTGCCACTTATCCAAAATAGGTACAAGATCAACTATAATGTTAGAAATTTAAATATGTGAAAAAAATACATTTCATGTTTAGAGAATTAACAGAAATGAAAAACAAGTAAATATACACATAAACACAATTACAGTAATTTCTATTTCTTATCAATGCTATCTAAAGTAATTCAGTTTCATTTGTTTTAGTCTTTTGGAAATTTATACTCATTAGTGAATTGGTTCACTACAGAATTACAGAAAAAAATGCATTTCAAATAAATAATATGTTAAACCTAATTTTTATAGAGAACTATTTAAAAAACACATCCCTCATTTTTAATACTTCCACGATGGGTACTTAATACACCCAAACCTTATTATACATTCAACATTTTGTATATTTTAAAATTGTTATAAGATATATTAATCCAAATTTGTCTTCAGTCACATTAACCTTAGTGTAATTCTCTTTATGTAACAAATTATCTGACAGATTAAAGAAATATGGATAAAATTTGTCTGCCAAATGGACACATCATATTGTTCTAGAATCCTACAAACACTGAATCTTTAAAAGTTCTACTGAAATAAAATGTAAACCTGTCCAAATTAAAAGAGCTTGACAGAGAGGTTATAAGAAGCAGACTCTGGAGATTATATTATTGTATGCTTTACTGTTTATTAGCAAACACTCAACATTTTATTCAATGGCTATACTCCTTCCTGTACAACGCAACAATTGAACAGAGAAGTATATAATATTATCTATTTTTTTAAAATGTGGTGTTCTCAGCTGGTAAACTACCAGAAATCAGGGTGTTTTGCCTACCAATGAACCATAGCAATATAAGAAAAAATACTATGATGGTCCTCATTTCCTTCAAGACATAACTCAGAAAATCACCTTCTCTGTGAGGCTTCACCTGGACACCTAATTTAAAATTTTATCTCTACCCTTCAACGTAATACTTGCCCTTCGTTGACTTCTCCCCCATCTCTTCATTTGGTCCCATCTTTATCTAACATACCCTATATTAGGCTCTTTATCTTAATTTATTGCCTGCATTCTACCCACTAGATGCTAAGATCTTGAAGGGAAGAGATTTTGCTGTTTTGTTTACTGCTATAGCTAGGATATGTGGAACAGCCTATGGCACATTACAGGAACTCAACAAATATTTATCGAAAAATAATTAAAAGGGTACAGATGAAATTATTCCAGAGTAAGCACTCTTTGTGAAGTCATTTTCAAATAACAATAAATGAATGCCCTCCAACATGATCGGTAACCATTCCTAAAACCAAACATAGCTGTTTGTTTTTCTCATAGCACAGATAAATCAGTTATCAGATTTAGAAATATAGAGCAACACACTTAATGTAAAGTCTTAATTTTAAAAATGCAAAAAAAAAACCCCCAGCTAATTATAGACAGAAATGGGATGTTTTCTGATTCATAGATTAGCAGTCTGCCTACAAAATTATGCTACTACTTCATTTAAGAAAATAAGTTTTTTGCCAAATGGGAGAATGAACAGTAACGAAATGTAGGGAGTAATGGGAGAAAAAAAAGATTTAAAAAATTAGGATGGAAAAATATACATTCTGATACATTAAAAATAGGCCTAACATGAATAGTTCATAGCTAAAAAAGGAGTCCAACGATAACAGAAGACAAACATAACAAAAGGCTCTACATTTTATTTCCCCCCCAAAAGAAAACAAAAATGTGAAAATGTTTACCACTTTAAAGAAAGAAAAGGTTTACATTAGCTTTTGTTTTAATCCCAAGATATCATCAAGCAAGACATTAGCTTTTTGACCATCCTTAGTCCATATCAGAGTTTACATGGCATATAACAAGCTCAGCTCTAAAGCCAAAGTATGAACATATTAAGACGAATAGGAATTAAAAGATGAGATTGTACAACTATTCGAGACACTGGGTTCAAGCTCTAGTATCACTAGTGTGTTTAAATCTGATGCCTTAAGCCACCTAAATCTTTGTGAAGATAAAGTATGGTCTGCATTCAAAAATCACTTAGTTTTTTTCAGCTGAATAAAGTCATATACCTTGATAGGCCATTTTCAATTATGTGATGGCTCAGAAACTGTGCATAAACTCAGAGAATGTTGAGACCTTGGGCTTCATAATACCGAGAATTTAATCTTTCATTTGAAAGGAAAAAGTCTATCCAGTGAAGTTCCAATTATAGATTTCATAATGAATTCTATTTATTGCTTCCTGGACCTGTCAATTCCATTAATGGATGAATATCTCTTCTGAATCATAACTCAAGAAGAAATGCCACTATTTTACCAATGATATTTATATCAGAAACAATAAGACAATGAGCCCATTCTGCTTGCATGTATTGGTCGTTTCAGGCACATCAATTGGGATTCTGGGAGAAATACCAAATATAATAAAAATACACACGGATATTAAGATAAAATTATATGTTTTTCATTTCAGACAAATCAACAGGGGTAGGAAGAAGAAATATAACCCTGATTTTATAGTGCAATGGCTAGCAAGTGGGGAAGGAGGAAAGACAGGAATCAATAAATTGTCGAAATCATACAAAAGCAAGATTATAAGGGCAAACACATATAATAAAAATAACTGACTTTTGAAGCATATTATATTGACTAAAATACAACATACAAAATAAAAGAACTCTACTGGTCTAATTTGGGGATATTAATATATTATTTGATTTACATGAAGTACAAACCTTTTTGCATTTAAAGAACGTAACTCTTGGTTCAAAGACAAATTGCATAAATAAACCAGTTAGTTCAAATTTGCTTTGAAAAGCAAGAAAACTAAACAAAACCTCTTACTTAAAATAATAATTGGTTTACCCAAACCAGAGTATAGAGTTCAGGTTTAAAAATAATGAATCAATAGAACCTTAGAAATACGTATTATTCCATCCAATAATGAATTCTGTATCTTTTAACCCATATTACTCCACTGTACAATCTTTGAAACTCAAAATAATAACTTCAATTTTACTATTTAAAATGATTATAAATATCAGGTGAGATTCTTTTCTAGTCCATGTGAGAACTTTAAGATACAAAATAAATGTTAAATTTTGGTATCATCTTATAAAACAAATACATTTTGATGATGCTGATATATCTCAAAATGTATTTGAAATGCTTCTTTTGGAAATACACAAGAAATGTCATTAGGATATATTCACAATTCATTTCAGTCAAAGAGTTTTATCCAGCTTAAGCAGTTATTACTCAATTTTTAAATGGTTTATTTTAGATGAAGGGTGTACATGTGCAGGTTTGCTAAATGGGTGTATTGCACAATGCTGAGGTCTGGACTTTTAGTGAAACCATCAATCAAATAGTGAACATAGTATCCAACAGGTAGTGTTTCAACCCTCGCCTCCTTCCCATCTCCACACTTTTGGAATCCCTAGTGTCTATTATTTCCATTTTTATGTCCATGTGTACTCACTGTTTAGCTCCTGCTTATAACAGAACATCTGGTATTTTATTTTCTGTTTCTGAGTTAGTTCACTTAGGATGATGGTCTCCAGCTTCATCCATGGTTGCTGCAAAGAACATGATTTCATTCTTTTTTATGGCTGCACAGTATTCTATGGTGTATATATGCCACATTTTCTTTATCCAGTCAACCTGTGATGGCCACGTAGGTTGACCCCATGACTTTGCTATTGTGAATATTGCTTCAAAAAACATACAAGTGCAGGTCTCTTTTTGATAAAATAATTCCCTTTCATTTGAATTGATACCTAATAGTAAAACTGTTCAGTCAAGTGGTAGTTTTAGTTGAGAAATCATCATACTGCATTCCATAGGAGGGGAACTAATTTACATCACCAGCAGTGTATAAGCATTCCTTGTCTTTTAAAACATCAGCTATTTCCAAAATACAGGAATTTGCTATATTAAAATTTTCAAATGAATGTAAACCTTAAGCCCTGAAAGTTACAACAAAAGAAGGGTTTCAAATTTGCTTTCAATAGTAGTAACAACATTGACACATAAAGAAAGCCTCCTAAGAGTTATATAGAAAAGTATTTATTCATTTATTTAAAAAGAGAAAAAAAACACCCTTGTTTATCTCTTACACAGTTTAGAATCTGGATCCTTCATTTTAAGCTTTAGATGTAAAAAGCATCAAAAAGAATTTTGCTTTTTCATTTCCCTTGAATGTTTCATTCAAATTATCTCAATTTGTCCTGTAAAACAAAAATATTTCTAATTCTAGAAACTATAAATTCAAAACAAGTCCTATTTAACAAAGGCATACATGATACCTGTAGGCCCGGTCTGAGAGGGAAAGATTCTGATTTTTGGATATGACAGAAAAAGAATTTTAATTTGGGAGAAATCATTAAGCATTCATAACACTTTAAATATACTTACACATAGGCAACACAAATAAATTGCTTACTCTGCTGAACTTTCAAAATGTATTTTAATCTCATTCCAAAAGGAAATAAAATTTCTATATACAAGTACATCTCATTCAAATCACTTTTTAACATACATTCTGCAACTTAAAATATTATAAGGATTCAATATTTTCATCTTTTATAATCTCAATATATTATATATTTAATATATAATATATATACAATACATACAGGTAGTCAGCAGGTTTACAAAGTAATTTCTTCAAAGTCTGATCAGTATTGATAAATATCTTTAGACTATTAAAAGCAACCATTTAGGATGATAGAATAAAATAAAATATGGCAGGTCGAAACCTAATGGCAAGATTACAAGTGTTCATATGGCCAATCATTTGAAAAGAACTCTCAAGTTGGGTAGAGCATGTTTTAAAATAATACTCTTGCTACTCTCAAGCAGCAATAGTTGTAGCTATTAAGCATATTCATCTCCATTAAATTTAAAATAACTTTGCAGTTTTCTTTACTGTAATATACAGTAGCTATCTTTTCCTTTCTGTTGGATTTTATCATTTCAAGAGTAACTAATATATTACCAACAGAAGAGACTTTAGCCCCTTTCCCTCCCCTAAAGCATGGCTCAGTTTGAAGATTGTTCTACAGGCAGCCACTATGACTATCAACAGTACCGTAATACCATTAAAAGCAATCAATAACTAGAGTCATGTGAGATGTTTCAAAGACTGCTGGAGGTTTCTGTAAACCAAGGTAATCAGAAGTATTACCCTTGTAGATAGCCCTCTCATACCAGTAAATACAGAGTTAAAATTCCAATGCCACAGTGTAACAGTTAACAATCTATTTTGTAATTTTAAATATTATAACATTAATTCACCCTGAGAATACAGAGGACACATTTAATACAAAATATTCTGATATGTTTTTTTTTTTCCTTTGTATTTGCTTTCTTCTGGTTTTCATCGGCCCTTCAAGGGCACAAATATTTGAATTTAAAGTGTGATTTGGATATGCTTTTTTGTCAACTGAGATTCATGCCACAGTCAGATATTGGTGATAGAAAAGCCCAAAAAGGCTTGTAGAAAAGAGGCAAGCAGCAATCCACCAGGTCAGAAAAGACAGAAGTCCTCGAAAAAGAAGAGGAGTAAAAATATTTTTTAAGCTGCTCAATGCCACTGTTATTTGTGTAACAGTTACTTTCATCTTCCCTTCAGCTGATGGTAATTCAGAGTAAACAGAATTGGAAAGTAGGCTATTATCCACTGGTAAGGTAGTGATGGATTCTGGATAAACACCCCAGGAATGATTACCTAGAAAATTGAAGACACAAAATTTGAAGAGTAAGTAATTCCAAAGCTTTTTATTAAAAACGAATCTTTACTATATTTGAAGTTAACAATAAGTTTAGTTTAGTGGCATAGTAAATCATGTTATGTTGAAAATAAAATAATAATCCTTCTAGATATGTAAATAATTAACCTATCTGGCCTCATCAGTAAAGGTACACATAAAAGCAAAATGTCTGACACACTTCTAATTAACTGCACTAAAAATGGGTAAAATAACAAAAACAACTTTCTCATTATATAAGAAACAAATCAGCTAACTCTACTGGAGTGACAGGGACAGATTCAATAACTTCTCAGAAATCTTTTCTACTTCTAGAATATCAACATAAATTTCTTTCTCAAAAACTATCTATGATTTCAATGTGAAGACCCATTAATAGCTTCTAGAAATTTTTTTCATTATATACTTTCTTACATTGGATAGGATATGAGTCACTTAATTTACAGCTGAACTACCTACCCTTTACATTCCATAGATTCTTAAAGGGCATTTATACCTATCATCAGGTCTATGACATCTACTAAGTCCATCCGCTCAAATAATATTTTTAGTTCTTTTGGGTTTCTTAAACCCCTACACGGCTTATTGTCTGATCCAAGCAAGGGGAAACGATGAATGCAATAGATATTTCTTGAATAACACCACATGTGGACTTGATAGCTTAGTGAACAGACTGGTAGAACTTTGTTAGTTCACTGAGAAATCTTCACCTTTTCAATGTAAGTTATCTGAACTAGAACTTACCACAGCATTCTGTAATTTATGTAGATTTATAATCTCCTTGTAATAATTTCAATGTTAGGGAATAACAAAACCTTAAATCATTCTCTTATAACACAAAAGTAAGATCAACAGTGCTTACTAAAATTACTGGGCAAATTTGAGACTTAACCTTTAGTAAACAATTCTTGAAGATAAATCATAAAGTTGTAAAACCATGGGCCTGAGTTTTCAAAATGAAGATAATAAATCACCTTCCACAGCTAAAACTTTCCCATGGTTCTTCTCACAACTTTTAAAGAGAGAAACAATTTTATGAGTTGCGTTTATTTGTTGGTGACCAAAAGCATTATTAATTAAAGGTAGAAAGTAAAAGATGCTTCCTAAGTTGCCAAGGAATGCCTACCTAGTGTTTTCAAAAGCAGAGTTGTGTGAAGCAGCATTACCAGAGGCGCCACATACTGCAGTGCAATGACACAAAGGTAATAAAAGACTCGAGCCACCTGCAACCAACAACATTCTTAAGTGTCTAATACAACTGACACATTAGGAGTGAATTAAAGTTTCATATAATTGTCAAACTGAAATGTTTAAAAAATAATCCTTTCATAAGAAGCAAGCTAAGTGTTAATAAGTTGTGCTTTATTATAAATGTCCCCAAAATGGCTTTGGAAAGGCTCAATTTGAAGACAAGCTTTTAGAATGTGCGAATATTAAAATAGATTCCTTAAAAATAATTCTTGATGTATATATATTGGAGAAAATAACAACTACAATTCAAATGGTATACATTTACTTATATTTCAAAGATAAAACAATATGCTTAAATCTGTAAGGACATCTACCTAAAACATCAAACTAAATAACAATAGTAGGCAGAGTCACATATGAGCATAAATCCCTCACAAATAAAAACATTAAGTCCCCATTCTACACGAATATATTTGAAGTCAAACGATGGAAAATATAAAAATACATAAAAGGTAAAACAGCAAAAAGTTGTTTAAATCTTAATAAATGTCCCTAACTATGGAGGTGAATCAAAAACTGAAGCTGGTTGGACGTAGTGGCTCATGCCTGTAATCCCAGTACTTTGGCAGGTGATGCAGAAGGATTTCTTGAGCCCAGGAGTTCAACATGAGCCTGGGCTACATAGAGAGACCCTGTCTCTACAAAAAATAAAATAACAATAATAAAACAAGGGAGCTAAAACCACCTCTCTAAAAATAAAGATACAATCAGGTTATTGGTCCACTATACTGGCAGATGGATTCCTTGTTCTTTCCTTCTCTGGAAGCCCCAAATAAATTTAGTTCTTACACTACATGTTAAAGTACATGGAGTAATATTAAAATGAATAAATTTAGCCACTAAAAGTATTTCCTACTCTTTAAGTCTTAAAGTCTGGACAATATGTTATAATGTCTTTCAAATCAGAGGGGTCCCATTCAGCAATATTAGGCATAACACAGCTTTGTACCACCCTCTGTATGACACAAAACACTTAAGGCAGGAAGAGGAATTAAGAACCCTTCTTCACTTGGTACCAAAATTAGATCAAGGTCTCTGATATCTGTCAGCTTAAGATTGTTCTGTTTATTTACAATAAGAATATGAAGGGTTGAAATACTATCTAATAAAGAAAACCAATTTTTTTTTTTTCAGTGTGGTTTTTACTATTTTTCATTTTGACTAGGGTATAAAACTTACCATTTTCTGTAGCTCAACTGTACTTATTCGCCCTGCTTCTTTCTTCATCTGATCCACACATTTTTGGGCTAAATTTAAATAAGCTTGCAGGTGACTACGCATCATGGCCAACCGCAAAGCACACAGCAGGATTATTAACCAGAGTCGCAGAGTATCGAATGTGGCTTCTGTCATTCTACAGATCAAAAAGTTGATATGGTGCTCTCAAAGACAACAATATGCTGGCATGCTCGTTATAAGTTAATGCTCACCATATAAGAAATCTATACTTAGCAACAATTAGAGACATAAAAGAATCTCACTTTGCCATAGACTTATCTGTATGATACTTTGACACGAATAATAGAACCAGACAAATGTGTCATGAAAGCATAAGAAGTTAACAGGTATCTAGAAGAAAACAGTAGAGCAACACATAAGATTCTTTTCTATATACCCTCCTCCATGGATAAAAACTAACTGTGACATGAAAAGAGAAGTTGGGTGGTCTTAAACTGGTGAGTAGGGGAAAGAAAGAAAACTGCAGGGATTGCCTAGGGGATGAATCAAGTCAATCACCCATCATCATTGGGTACAGCTTTGCCTGATCATAAACATATTTGGATGGGATCTTTTACTCTGCTGAGCTTTTACTTGGAACCACTGGAAAATCAAAAATTCTGACATATTATGAAGAAATCAGATGCCTGAGATTCCTCTACAACAATTCATTTAACTTGCTATGCACTAAAGCTGGCTCAGCTCTGAGCAATTCCTCAAGGCTAAGGTTAGCATTCCAGGTGAAAATATGTGATCTTAAGGACATCTTTTCAGAAACCAGATCACTGGGAGGGTTCCTTAAAGAATTTCAGAAACAAGAGATAACTTATGATGTCCTTTTGGTATTTAATGTATTTTAAAGACTATGGGTTTCTGCTCTGATGAAGAACTACATTGCAAGTAATTTGAATGTAGTGACTAGACCATCCTTGGCATCTAGTCTAATATCTAGTATACCTATCAGGCACTTAATACGACTGTTGCAATGCATAGACTGAGTTGCCAGAAAAAACCTGGAACTCAGAAGGGTCTCCATTAAATTCTTAAGAACATGAGGGTAGAACGGATGCATATAAAGAAGAACAAATGGGAAAACATTAAAAGAAAAAAAAACCTTGGAACTAAAACTACAATATAGGAAAATCTGAAGTGTAAATTTTGTTCCATCTGTTTATAAAATGGAGGTAAGACATGGGGATTAGACAAAGGCTTTACTATATATACTCTCTCATTTCTTTTTATTAAGTCATGAGGGTACATGGACATAAAATTCCAATGGAAAAGCACTGTTGGCTAAGAAAGATAAAGGCATAACATTTTATCAACATGTTTCCACTAAAATGAAATTAAGAAGCCATCACGTAAGAGTGACATACATAACACACAAGCCTACCCACAGCCTTGAACCTTTCCTGGGGACCTATAAACAACACTGTGTTCCCTGGAGTTGAGCAACAAGAGCAACTGACTGGGAGCAGCCTGAAGACAGAGATTTCACAGCCTTTGAGGATAACATATAATATGAATGAAAGGAACAAAACAAGGTAGTGAAGCAGAAAATTATTTGTTCAGTTTATGAGGGCAGGATTTAGGATAATTGTCATTAAATGGTACTTTCTAATTAGATTATTAAAGTAACATAAATATCTGATAAGTTGATCTGATAGAGTGTTTCAAGAAGGAGCATGAGGAGAGGGCTTAAAGTATATATGTAAAGAATAGGCAGAATAAATTATCCTAAATTCCTGATGCCATTCTACGCTTTCTTGTATATGTTCTCTGTGTTCTTTTTATGAGGTTATGAGCACACATGGACTCTGTTTACCAATATTTTATTTTGTCAATACTTTATCAGAACACATGATAGATTCAACTACATTTCTGGGTTGAAACTACGTTGTACCATGTTTTTTGCTTCTGATTACACAGACCTTTCAACAAATTTGTCTATGTGACAGAAAAAAGCTTGTCACTTCATTTTTCCTTCACCCCACTCTCTTTGATGGGCAGCCATTTTTTTTTCACAATCTACCATATGCGCTTTAGATTTTTAACAAAAATTAAAACTGCCTGTCTAATCACTTAATCATAAATTCAAATTAAAGAAGAATAAAAGAGAGCAGAGGTAAGGCTAATTTTATTTGAAATGTTTATGAAACAGGTTGGAAATGGGGATGGGACAAAGGGGGAAAAAGCACAGAAAGAGAACCTCGGGTCTTTAGGTACAAACAACATTTTTCCTATAATTTAATATGCACACAAGGGAAAAGTTCCTTATTCCCATTTCCACTAAATTAAGTATTCACTACTAATAAATCCACATGAAGTTTAATTAGGCTGGAAGTGGGAAGTGAATGTTAGTATAACTACCAAGTGTTTTATGTATATCAGTTCTGGCTCAACAACTTCAGTCAAATTATTTAACTTCTGAGTCTGTTATTCCATCTATAAAATGGGATGAAAACAGTAACAAATGGACAATTACCATAAGAAGACAATATGTAAAGTATCAAGATTTCACATAACTGGTATGTGATAAGTGTATCATAAATGGTAGTTTCCTTATTTTCTCTATTTAACTAAAGCAAATATAAATTAGAGAACATAATTACAGGAATATGAAATCCAGTTTTCACGACCAAATTTCAAGGAAGGATTGGGAATGCTTTCAGTATCTTAAGACATGAATTAGAAGTTTCTCTGAGATTTTATCTAAAGCCCTAGGATCCTTTGAATTACTTTTCAATACTGAGGAAACCTGTCTAGGTAAAATTACCATTAAGGTAATTAGTTGTGTGTTGGGGGGAAACATTACTTTTTCACTGGCTATTTCCCTGGTTCAGTAGGATTAACTCTAAAAAGAAAAATTATCATTGTCATCAGTGATTTTATATGTAATTTTATATGTACACCAGGATCTAAAAGAAGTATACAATATAAAATGTACACTGCAGAGTCAATGACTAGGCAAGTATTTCTATTTTAATTCTGATGAGGCAAAGCAGTGAAAAGAACATTTATTAAGCACTTAATTCCAGCTGGTTGAATTACATGTGTTCTTTTATTTAATTCCAATGATAACCTTGGGAGGTAGATACTATTATCTTTATTTTCCAGATGGGGAAACAGAGGCTCAGTGAAGTTAAATAATCTGTCTCAAGTGAAGGTGTTAGTAAGTAGGAGAGCTGGAGTTTGAACCAGTTCTCTCTGAACCTTCCTATTACTCTAACAGTTCTACAAGGCTAACATATCAAGTCTAGCTATTAATGCCTATTAATAAACTGTTTCTGTTTCCTCACCATCTTCTTCTGCTAAAATGCAGTTGCCTAATTAAAGAAATATAAACTAGTATTAGATAATAATATTAAGACATTATTTTTAATTTTGTTGGGTACAATAATATTGTTATGTAGAGAAGTATCCTTATTTTTTTTTTTTAGAGATGCAAACAAAAGTACTAAGGGATAAAACTTATGTCTCTAATGTACTTCAAAAATACTTTATCAAAAAACAAAACAAAAAAAATTGATGAAGCAAATATGGAAAATGTTAACAACTGTCAAATATAGGGGCTGAGTATATGAGTTTCCATTTATACTATCTTTTTTCTCCATAATTTTCATAAAAAAAAAGAACTTCAGAAGGTATCTAAACAATAGGCACAATGACAACAGAAAAATGACGACTGGACGTAAAGAAGAGAAAAAACAAGTGTACAAGATAATATTAGTGCAAGGTAATAATCATTAACATTAACACAGATCACAAAAATGTTAAGTGATGGTCTGTAGTTTCAATTTTATAACACATCTTTTAGCATTTCTATTAATGTCTGAAAAATACAGTGTCCTGATTTTATCACTGAAAAACAAATACAGTAAATAACATTTAGGAAAGCAGTTCTGATGATAAAAATTAGCCCTCAAATGCTCATACTTACAAAGGGATACTTTCTTTACCCAATGGTGGGTTCATAATGTAGTCTTTGGTGATTGGCTTTACCCAGAGCAGAACCATAAATAAAGGTGCCAAAAAGTTGATATGAAGTAATGTTCTGAAAGTATGTAAGAAATAAATATAAAAATTAAGAAACAGCATGTGCTAATAAACTACAGAAACTCGGGTCTTACTAAAACGGAGGTAGGAACTAATTTGCAGTATTCTACTACTTACGGGAAAACTGTCATCATCATTTTATACTTATTATCATTTAACATTGATTTGAGTCTGTGAGAAACTATGTCATTACCTTAATTTTTCAAATGAGAACATTTAGATATAGAAAAGTTAAATGACTTGTTCATGGCAATAACAGAGCAGAGGTAAACATAGGACTAAAATTCAGATTTGTTCACTTCTATTTTAGTGTTCTTTAATAATCCCGTACTTTATTCCTGATTCAATAAGCAGGTATTTAATGATTATACCTTTATATAGTCAATGAATCTAATGGATTTTCAGTACAGGAGAGCCATCTGATACTTTTTAGTGCAACTGAAACAAAGTATCTCCTCATTATCTACAAGTAAATGCCAGTAATTAGTTATGTCCGTAATACTAGAAGGCACATGGCAGATGGAACCTATGGTAAAACCTGCAACTAAGGAACCTTTCAAGTGTAATGATCATGTATAATTTTAAATTTCCATTGTTAAAATCATAAGTGATTCCACATTTTAATTTCTTTTTGAATGATTATGAACACACTTGAAATAATTTCTTTATCCTATATATATACACATACCAAAAAAATTTACTTTATTCCTGACAAGTCAATATACCTAATACAGGAAAGGTTTCAGGTCTGCCTTACAAATTCATTGTTAATTGTCCAAGTTTGAATCCTAAAGAGACAGATGGCTGGCGAAAATTTTTCTTATTTTAGAAAATAGGCGAATTCTTCAGATACTTTATTACCATAAACTGCTTTCATTATCAACCACACTTAACAGCTAAACTGGAGGGTTCAAATTACACACAAACATCATATTTTAAAGTATCACTACACAGGCAAATGACAGTGATCTGTGTGAGGAAACAGGGCTGGGTCAGGAAGCCAGGAACACCTGACAGGGAAAGGTAGAACTCCTGCCCTAACCTCTGATAGAAAAACAGGTCCTAGTGCCTGGCCATGAGGGTGAAGTGCATGCTGCTCTTTGTGCCAGTCATGTTAACTCTCACAACAGAACTAGCTTGCCCACACCCTTGTATCAAGGCAGAGTGCTACAACACAATGAGGGGCTGCAATAAACTGAAAATAAAATAAAACCCCAAATCCCTAAAGGAAAAAAATCTTAAAATGAAGCCACATTTTACTAAAAAGGACACTAAAATGTACACTCCACGCCCAACCACCACTAAATGCTTTAAATGTTTTTATAAAGTGATTCTTTCATCCCACAGCCTGGATAAACCATCGGATGTGGGGGAAGAAAGAAGTAGTATTAGGTATGCAGTGTTGCTAGGGAACACTCTAGTATCAAGGAGCAGCCCACAGCGGTTTCAGTAGCTTGTGAAGGGCTCCCCTCCACCCACCCTTTTCAGCTTATTTAAATCATAACACTGGGGTTAGTGGACTGAAGTGTGTGTGTAGAGAGAAGGGGGAGAACCAGGTTTTGTCTTAAAAGAAGCCATTAGAAAGACGGGTGGTGGGAGAAAAGCAGGATGTAGCCAAAAGCATGCTGAGTAAAAGGAGGAAAAAAAAAAAAGAGGTTATGAAGGAGTGTGTAGTGGGGGGTGACAATAAGTAAACACACGTACAAAGCATTTATGTAGAAAAATGGAAGTGAGGTGAAAAAAAAGACAGTCAAAATTAAAGGAAAACGACATAGGTAAGAGAGTTAAGAATGTGAAAAGACTAAAGAATCAGCATCATTAAAAATAGGTTTTACAGAACAGAAATGTTAGGAAATAAGATCACCCAGAGAAACTTAATGATTATAAATATACATATCAAAACAAAATATTCTCAAGTTGGGCTTCTACTGCAAAACAAAACGATGAGACAGGAACTTTGATCTGAATATAAGTTGAAGTAGATATTGGCCTGTCTTTCTGCCAAGATGTCTACATCAACAAAAAAAATCTGTGACAACCACAAAGAATATAGTAAATGGGCTTTGAACTACATATAAAGATGGAATATCACTACTTCAAACTAACATAGAGTTTTAGAACTATAATAGAATTTGGTAGTTAGAAGTAATGTATAATATGTAACATTGTATAGTATTAATCCCAAAATAAAAAGATATATTATTTTAATAAGAGCCTAATAAGCAGATAAATAACATAAGGAAAACAAACGTCTCATGTATACAACTTGTAGTTTTGAAATGTTTTTAAATAAAATTTTACATTAAAAAGTTAATTTACATAGATTTATATAAAAAATTAAACAATATTTTAAATCAAAATGATCTGATTTTTCTAAGGGAAATTTCTATAGATCCTGTTTAGTTATAGAGATTGCAATAGAAGCCCCTGAATGAGAAAGAACATAAATTTTGATACTTTCATTTTAACAGGTAAGACAAATTTAGTAATCGATGTATCTTTTTAAATATATGACAAAATTTAGAAGCAAATAAAAGAAACTTGCTTATAGTTGAAAGAGGAAGTAGTGTGACATCAAATGGTTATTTATTAATTCTCAATACAATAATTTATGATTACATTACAATAATATACCTTCATTAAGATGAAAAACATATATTTATCTGCATGTGCTTATGTACATTTTCCGCTTACTGTGTAATTTTTTCTGTTGCCAAATTCAGGGCATCCAGATGCATTTGAGCCAGCCGTAATCCAGGAAATGTCAAAAAAGCCCCAATGAGTGAACAGAAAATAGCCAGGAAAAATTTGAAAGTAAGTTTTGAAACAGGACTCCTAAAAATAAAATTTTTTAAAAAGCTGATAAATATTTATAATTAACTTTCAAAGAATTTCCTTTCTTCTAATAAATTATCTTACAAATCACAATAATAGTAAAACAAAGCAAATTTCTACAAAAAGATTGCTATTATTCAAGTATCTATAATGGATTCTGGTGAACTGTAAACTACACTAGGTATCCCTTTAGTCATAATCACAACAACCTAACCTACACATTCAACAGGGAATTGACATATGACTTGGATATAAATTTAATCTCTGGAGGGAGAAGAATTAAAGAAATGCAAATTTACATATGAATTCTATGAAAGATACTAATTTTATATAACATTTTTATAATTCTATATAAAAATTATGAATAAGGATATTTCTAGAAGTAACAGTCCAACTTAAAACTCTACTACTTTAAAACAACTATTTATAGTAAATACTGCTTTATTAAAAATAGAAAATGTTAAATTTAAATAATGCTTAATTTTTCCAAAACTTACTGAGATTCTAAACCTTGCTTTTCAAGAAACTGCATCGCACTGTCTGAAAAATTTGTAAACCCTGTAAGGAAAAAAAAAGATTACTCTTACCACAGATGTGAAACAGAATCTTTCTGTGGAAATAAAATGCTAGAAAACAGAGCATCTTAAAGTTTGAAGTGACTAGCTTAGCTCTTTCATGTGTTAATTAGTATGCCATAATGCAATAAAATTTGGTTATTAGCAAGAACAGTCTTTGAAAACATCCCTTTGATATTTGTACATTCCATGAGTGTGCATAAAATTTGCATTAATTCTTTAACTATGTGAGTAAACTTTAGCATTACAGAAGCTTATTTAACTGTAAGGAAAAAATGAGACAGTATTATTGGAAAAATCAATTAAAAACTTAGCTAAAACAAAAGCAAAAAAAGATCTTAATTAAGAATAATAAAGGTTAATTACTTACAGCATTAGAGTATATACTTCAAACTCAATTTTAAGCATTTATCAGATATATACTGAGGTCAAAAATATTAACACTAGATAAAGCAAAGTTGATTTTTAAAGTTGTATGAAACTAGTACCTGTTTCAAGTCCAAATTCCAGATAATTTTCTGTTACAATCAACACTGCCATTGCTTTGACAAAGAAAAAAAATCCAAAGGTGACACAAACAGATCTTTCACCACCATCTTCTACTTTAAAATAGTGTGTAGTTAATGAAAATAGAACTTTGCTGCAGAAAGAAAAGTTCAGGAAAAACCACAATAACTTTATGGGAGCTATACACAATGATCTTTATAGGATCTGATTCCAATAAAATTTGACTACATTTATTTTGATTCTACAGTGTGCTGATCTACAAGACACTCTTTAAAGGACCTGAAAATCTAACAAAAATCTAAAGAGTCTTCTGGAAAATAAGACATAAAAACAAAGTGAATCTAAGTGTTGATAACATTTTTAAATTAAGGAAAAGAGCATCCACAGACTAAGTTGTAGCTAGGGAATGTATTTCTAGTCATCTGACTCAAATTTTACTAGAAGATTATTTCAAGATTTTTATGCAGTATGTTCTCAGTGACATGAAAAGCCAGGGTAGAGGCTTTTCTTGAAAACTATCTTTATTAGGCATGTCTGTTAAACCAGTTTACACTTATAATTAAACACATAACACAAGACTTATCTATAATAATCCAATAAGTTAAAATTTGAGAATTTTACTAATACCTATTGTTGATCTGTGGTATGAAACTGAGATCATCACATTATTATTAAACAAAAATCTTTAGAGAAAACAAGTTCCAACTGAGTATTCAAAAACAGCCAAAGTTTCCACATGTTCACCTATTAAAATATACTGAAGAGATTAACTTATCTCAACCACCCCAACACACACAAAAATTGATTCAATCAAAATTAAATCAGTGCATGGCCCAAAGCTGGAACTCTGATCTCCATTACACAGCAAAGAGTTCTCCTTGAAATCACAAAACAAACAAAATAAGGCACTGGCAAACAAACCTAGAAAAGCAACCTTTACATAAACTTTATGTCAAGCATGGAAAATAACAGCTATCATTTAGTACTTGCCATGTGCTGAGCATTACCAATTAACTTTTAATTCTTACATTAACCACATTATTATTGCTACTTTATAGATATTTTTAAAAACTCAGAAACAACAACAATGTGGGCCGGGGCGGTGGCTCATACCTGTAATCCCAGCACTTTGAGAGGTCAAGGTGGGTGGATCATCTGAGGTCAGGAGTTCAAGGCCAGCCTGACCAACATGGCAAAACCCCGTCTCTACTAAAAATACAAGAGCTGGGGTGGCACACACCTGTAATCCCAGCTACCTAGGAAGCTGAGGCAGGAGAATCACTTGAACCTGGGAGGTGAAGGTTGCAGTGAGCCAAGACTGCACCACTACACGCCAGACTGGGCAACAAAAGTCAAACTCCGTCTCAGAAAAAAAAAAAAAAAAAAAAAAATCTGTGGCTGTGAGGCAAACGTAAAAACCTCAAAATCACAGCTAGTTTGGAGGAAGTTGAGATTTAAAACTAGACCGTCTGGATCTAGAATGTGTATGCTTAACAATTGATTATATTGCCTCTAAAAAACTCTACAGAGCACCTAAGCAAATGTACATTTAGCAGTAACACATGAAAATTTTCAAAACAGAACTGCCCTGACAGAAGTAAAGAATTAAAACATTCTCATAATCAGAAGAATCCTTATTCAGGAAGGGTTGGGCAAAAATAAGAACTCATTGCTTCTTAACAGGGTGTTGTCTTTTGTTGACCTATTTAAAAATGGTTAATATAGTCATTAATGCTTTCCTATTCTTAGGGTACTGGATAATAATGTAGAGTTACAGCTGCTCCAGCTACGGGCATGTACCTCAAAGTAAACCAACCTGAAGATAATGAGAAGAACTTTCTGACATTGTTCAAGCAGAACTTGAAGTAACTCTCTACTAGAATGTAAACTCTAAGAGATCAAGAATTCTTGTCTCTTGTTTATTGCTATAGTCAGACTACCAAGAACAGTGCCTGGCACATAATAGGTGCTCAAGCAATAAGGAAATCTTGCCATAGAAATATTTTACACAGTTTAGGTAAGCTGAAATGGTATTAATTCTCTGCTTTAATCATTAACCAGAAGTTTTGAATAACAACACTTTCTCTCAGATAATTTACTTGAAGGCCAAAACAATCAATCAACTTCTTTAGAAAAAGTTCTAGTCTGAGACCTGTTTTTATTGGCAATAAAGTGAAAATTATTTATTACTTATCTTTGTAAATATAAAGTATTTTCTGGGTTTTATAAAGGTTAAGACTTTGTTTTCCTAAGGCTTACAAGTGGCTAGTGTCCCTTTAAAGTGAAAATTATTTATTCCTCATCTTTGTAAATATAAAGTATTTTCTGGGTTTTATAAAGGTTAAGACTTTGTTTTTCTAAGGCTTACAAGTGGCTAGTGTCCCTTTAAAATGTAAAAACAAACACTAAGTCTAGGAACAGCCAATCTTTACCCACCTATTCCTGGGACAACCAGACCCTCAGAATAATGAGTGATAGAAAATATACCCCTTTCACACAAATCTCTGTTTTTTTCTCAAATACCATGATTCAAGATAAATAAAATACTTTCTCAACTTTGTTTTCCTAATTATTTATTTGGTAATAGCATTATTTTCTCTGAAAAAGTATGGTCTTACATGCTACCTTATAGATCAAATCAACTTTCATGGGCTAACCTGGGTAGGGATAGGAACATCATATATAGATAGCATTATTTCTCTAAGAAAGGATTATTTTATTTGCAAGCATTTTATAAGACAATCCACATTAAGTTGGAGTTACTATCTAAAAATTACTGTACTAGGAACTGATTTCAATTTTTTAATATATCTCTTTATGGACTATTATAAAGCTATTACTTATAATACTGTTATTTTGTAAATTAAGTACCAATTTATTTCTAAGACAATACGAAATCAGATAATGAAAGCTAGATGATAACCTCTGAACTTTCTGATTAAAAAGACCACTGCATGTTAACATATTTGCTATAATAAAAAATATGATTTAGGACCTGAAAATACTTATGTAGAGCTTCAGCATACACATTCTAAAGACATTTATTTACCAGTAGGTTATTTTCATTCCAACTGTCTTCTTACATTCACCATAACTCAAGATTACATATAATGGCCAAGTATTTGAACAATTCTCTTCTTTAATGTAATATGTAAAAATACCTCACAACAAATGTCATACTGCCCCCAAATATTCAACACCCTCTTGCTAAATTTAACTGTAATACTCTGGTTACAGAGTAAAAAGAAATCTGAAACTCTACTGAAGTTAAAAAAAAAAAAAAAAAGCTAATCTACATAATAGACAGTTTGTCCAGGGTATTTAGCATTGCGGGAAAGAGAAAGCTAAATTATTTTTATAACAAGGAATATAAATCTTCATGTCTATAAACTTACAAAACCAACAATCTCTGTACGGTATAAAGAGTAATATTTACATTCAAGTTCTTATTTAGCAATGATGCAGTATTTGGTGATGTTTCCATGTGTCACTCCTTCAAAATTCTATCTAAAATCACCTAACATTATTTTACAAACTTTCACTAAACATATTTGTCAATCTCTCCCTAGTTTGGCCAACAACTACAAATATTCATTTATAAACATTAAAAGCATACTGAGACACTGCAGAAGTATTCTGTAATATCAAGGTTAAGCAGGATTGTCAAATTTATAGGATGCCAATTTCAATTAAGACGATTAATGGGAGTTTCACAAAAGCACATTTAGTTTCCATGTCATTCTAAGAAAAAAATGTGAATTTTTATAACTTTCTACCACTTAATTGCATACAATCTACCACTATTCTTTTCTCTTTCTATAGGAACATCATTCATTTATGCTCTTATCTTACAGACAAACATTGGTAGTCTATAGCTGCAGTAAAAAGACTTTCTAAAAAAGGAGAGAGAGCCTGTAGTCCCGGCTACTTGGGAGAGTGAGGTGGGAGGATCAATATTTAAGTCTGGGAGGTTATGGTTGCAGTAAGCCATGACTACGCTACTGCACTCCAGCCTGGCAAGAGAAACACTGACTCAAAAATATAAAACAAAATAAAATTAGAAAGACTATCCTAGTATTGCAATACTAGGATCCTAATAGTAATCAACAGTCTCCAGCTAGGGAACATATAGGTAGGACCTGCCCTATCATCAATGCAAACTCATCTGATTGGGTAAAACTAAATTGTTTGTAATGAAAACACACTTCTGATAGGAGCCAGCTATATCTGCTAGGCAGAAAAAAGGTAAAAAAGCATTCATCTAAACTGTCCCACATAATCTAAACCTTGGAATAATTTTATAATTAACCAAAGTAATACATATACTATAGTTTAACTTTACATTATTATTTGAGGTAGTTTAATCAATAAAGAAAAACTACAAAATTAGGACCTCCTTGTTTAAACTTTCTAACTTCTCATCTCCTCATAGGAGAAAACAAAGCATTATCCATAGAACACTCTAGTACACAACTAGTTTTAAAATTGTGCAATTTTTAAAGCATAACCTCACTATATTTATGATTAGTAAGAGAGGGTAATCATTTAGTAATAGTGTTGAGACTGTGGTGGCTCATGCCTGTAATCTCAGCACTTTGAGAGGCTGAGGCAGGGGGATCACCTGAGGTCAGGAGTTTGATACCAGCCTGGCCAACATGGTGAAACCCCATCTATACTAAAAATATAAAACTTAGCTGGACATGCTGGTACACACCTGTTATTCCAGCTACTCAAGAGGATGAGGCAGGAGAATCGCTTGAACCCCGAAGGTGTAGGTTGCAGTGACCTGAGATCATACCACTGCACTCTAGCCTGGATGCAGTGAGACTCCATCTCAAAAAAAAAAAAAAAAAAAAAAAGTAATACTGTTGAAGGCCAGATTAAGTGTGAAAAAGATGAAAGCAAATGATAAAGAACAAAAGATCAGATTTTAAATAAACAGGACTACAAAGCATTTTTCCACACAAATTGTAGTTTTTCTTTTAAAATTAGAACTGGGCGGCCCATCAATGATAGACTGGATAAAGAAAATGTGGCACATATACACCATGGAATACTATGAAGCCATAAAAAAGATGAGTTCACGTCCTTTGCAGAGACATGGATGAAGGTGGAAGCCATCATTCTTTGCAA